CGATTGAAATGTTTGCGCTGAACTGAGAGATGTTGTCTTGAAAATAACGGTCAAAAACTAACACTAATTTCTCGACAACTCACTAAACGAGTGTAGCACGCGCATGGCCGTGCACTTGCGCTTCCGAGTTATCTGTTAAGAGGAAACGCTACAGGCACTTTTTAGTCTATTGTATACAATGGGGGCGGAAGTGGTGTAGTGGCAAGTGGCACGCTTACCACGCGAGCGGTCCGGGGATCAAATCCTGGGTCGTGAGTCGCCCGGGCCAACCAAGCCTTCCATCCCTCCGGGGTCGGTTAATTGGTACCAGACTTGTCTGGGAGGATAAAAACACTGACTTGTACATCGGCTGGCCCCGCAAGTCATTGTATAGGCCACATCGCATTCAAACGCCACTACGAATGTACAAATGGAAGTAGAATGCGTGCCGCATCCCAAAAAGGGATTGATCAACGGCAAATGCTTTATCCTTTTATCCTTTGTATACAATAGCTCACTAAGATAGAGGGAGTAGATAAGTAGAGAAGAGAGTAGATAAGATAGAGAGAGAGCTATCTCAGTAGGGACTACGAAATTCCTTTCCCTCTTGAAAAAGAGTTGTTTAGCGGCAAACAGTCGCAATAACATTATCTGCTGAAGAAAATAAGCAGTTAGTTAATTCTGGGTTCTGATGAAGCGAAATGTACTGGCAAAACCACACATTGTGATCGATCGATTTTTTAAGACTACAGGCCCAAAAAGAAAACGGCTTCCAGATCCTTTAATGTTGATTTCGTTGAACATACATTTTCTTGGAAATAAAATTTCGTCAGACCCATCCCACTCCTTTGCCTTGTTTTTTTGGATGCATCTAATAAGAAGTTTTTTTTGGATGCATCTAATAAGAAACCCTACATTCTCTATTTATCTATCAAATGAACCACTGTTTCAAACCATCCCATTTTTTAGACGAATTGCTCCACGACATTGTCGGTCTCATCAACGTCGTCATATTGTCGTCGACAACGTCTAGTTGTATGAAGGCATGTCAATCGTTGGAGGAAAGGGAACAATGCCATGACGTAGGGATGAGCCACCAAAATGCTCCTACATTCCATTCCTGAAGAGGAATGGTAGTTATAGATACGCAAGGGAAAAAACGACAAAAAGCGCCCGTCCTGAGCAGTCTGTTTATGATTTTTTTCTCAGCCCCTCTTACAGCTTTCGGCGGCTACTCGGTTCTTGATGCGCGCTAAAGCAAATAATAAGTATAATATTTACTGCACTACTACAAGGCGACCCCTCTTGCTCATCCCTTGAGATTCGTCCTTCAGATCTTCAATCCTGACCGACCAAGCGTCCCTTCCCTATGCGTCCTGATCTTGAGTGGATTCGAGGGTATGGCGCGATCTGATCTCAACTGGACCAGGGCTCTTATGCAGGCGATGACGTCGTCAGTGGAGTATATTCAAGCATAGCATGGAGATATATCTGACAAGTCTTTCGTACTATTCAAAAATGTAACCTAGCCGATGTGATCAGCTAGTATGTAGCTCAGAAGAAGCTGAGTGGCAACTTAACCATAGGGTACGATGCAAAATAAATTCTGCTGCGCTGTGCAACAGCCTGCGTATCAAACCTTGAATTGATCGGATCGGACTAGCCACTTTTTCTGCCTCTCACACGTTGAAAACGCCAGAACCGTTAGCTGCCGCTACAGTCACAAGAAATTGAATTGTTATGGTCGCGTTGTGATATGCGGGCACTTACATGTAGATGGCATCTAAGCTACTATAGGAAATTGAAGTCGTAGTGCATCCCCAAAAAGGGGCTGGTCTGTGCACTTTAATTGTTCTCCTTGATTGCGTTGAAGAGCTAATATCAGCCATCAACAACAAGACTTTAAAAAAAAAAATCAAAATGGTAAGTTTATCCCTGTTGATTACTACTCAACATGTGCACTAATCGCTTAGACAAATACAGTTTTGAAGGAATATATATCGATTAAGGAAGAAAGGATAAGAGTAGGTAATGATTTTGACTTAAAGACAGGCGAACAAGCTCCAATGCGCTCCAATCTCAACATTCCAGCTCGGGATGGCAGCACGTTCATTGCCCCCTCCCCCACCTACGTTGAAGCACATTATTTTTAGAATGGTAGGAAATCTGCATCACTCTTTGAAGATCCCAGCTTTCTTTGATAATAAGGAATGAAGATACGGAACTCAAAGAAAGGAGAAATGAAGGAGCTAGAAGCCGTGGTAAATAAATAGTAGATATCCATTTTTGGGTTTGGATAGTGCTAGCAATATTTCCAACGCCAAACAAGGATATTCGTGTCAGAGCAACAGAATAAGCAAGATAATGTTAGTGTACGTGGGCGTCATACAAAGCTAATTTCCACTCTCTAATCATCACAACTGCATTTGTCCATACTAACATCACTAACAGGGCGTGACCTATGCTTCGCAGTACTGGTGGAACCTTTGGTGAGTTCTTTGCCGTATTGTGTGATTCCGAAGTGTTTCCCAACACGACGTCGGAAACGCTAGAGGGAGAAGATGCTTAATCGGGTGCTCATAACTCGTCGAAGCTTCGAGCAACACATCTTCAGGCCTTTGAAGATGACGGAAAGATAGAAAGGTCAGGTTAGTAAGTAATTGTAATAAATAGTTAATCCAATTATCAACCCAAGTGTGGCAAACAAGAATCAAACAATTCGACCAGTAATGCCGACTTACCAAGTATAACATGGAAGTTAAGCATAACCTCCTTTGTTAAATAGTCCATAACGACTTCATTGAACTCGTCATGCTTGTCAGTTCAATATTTGTTTTGCTTGAGCCTTCGAGATATATTCATTAACTTTATCCGGCCGACGTTTCGGCACTTCGAAGCCGGAAATCGAGATGGGTTTTCTTTTTAACCATTTTTATGAAGGAGGAACTCCGGAGAGGGGTCTGTTCAGGATGTTTTAGATTCGCAGATTCGAGATAGATGCGCCGAAATGTTAGGCCAATAACCGAGATCAATTCGGAGGCTGAAGCGAGCAACTAGAAATTTTGGTGAGTTCCAGAATGAAAATCCCTGAGGCAAATCGGGGGGTAAGCTGTTTTCTGAATGAGAACACATTAGGGATATATTTCCACACCGAGACATATCTGATTCGTGCGGCGGGAATTAACTATAAGTCAGTGAGAAATCAGTTGCCTCATTGCAGGTATTGTGTATGTAATCAAAGGATTATGATGTTTTAAGTAGCTATTAATAAAGATGACACACTCGGCGGTTGGGCTGGCACGTACGTTGTTTCCAGGTACTGACCGTACAACAATGATTCGCACCAAAATCGTAGAATTAGGTTTGAAGCTGTGGCTGCTATATGTGAGGCGCTTGATGGTTGGCTTGTGCTAAGCGATTTATGTGTCTTAACGTGTACCATAAGCATTCAAAATAATACCTTCCGTGGGCTTATGTTATTGTCACATATTGCCAGGGCGGAGTGGGTTGTGTGGCATAGTGGCAGGTAATCACACGCAGGATCGGGATCGAATCTTGGGTTCTGGTGCTTCTGTCCAGCAAGCAACCTTCTTTTCCTCCGGGAAAATTTTGTACCAGACTTGTCTGGGAGGATAAAAAACACTGACTTGAACATCGGCTGGCCCCCGCAAGTCATTGTATAGGCCACATCGCATTCAAACGCCACTGCGAATGTACAAATGGAAGTAGAATGCGTGCCGCATCCCAAAAAAGGATTGATCAATCGGCAAATGCTTTATCCTTTATCCTACATTTTCAAATGCGCTACATCATTTCGTGATTTACTCCGCTTCCGCTGCTATCGCGTTCCAGGGAATGACACAACCGAACGTGGTCCCAAGTATATTTTAAATCAAAAGACCAAGATTATTTTGCTGTAATGAGATGCGAAGTTTACGCCTTCGGCCTCCCCTTGTGGTAGGAAATCTTATTGTATATATAAAAATGATTCAATTTTCGGCAGTATCTGCAGAGGACCAGTAAGGAGCCTGATCATGTAGAGGTTAACCTACTAACAAGCAAAGATAGTATAAAAGTCAGGAGAAAAGATTCACGTGTGGGATATTTAGTGAATTTTGATTGTATACTTCTCTCCTTTTGTTTTATCGCAATCCCCAAGAAGACAAAATGGCGGTTTAGGCTCAGAATAGTTCTAGATAAATAATTTTTTGGATGAGATTTTGCCAAAAAATTATGTTCAGATAAGGTAATAATTGAGCAGTAAACGATAATATACACTGAAAATCGGGGCAACCAGGAGTCTTCAGCCGCCCATTCAAGAGATGCGCTCGCGTTTGCGCCATGAACGCGAATGGTTCCCTGGACCCTTTACATGCAAAAGGGCTGGATTGCGGTAGCTGCACCTGAAAAACAATAGATTTCCCCAGTTTCCTCACTCTTTCGGGTCTTCTATCGCAGTATCTCGCCCCTTCTCACCCTCTTATTAACGCACCCCGATTCGCCAGCTACTGATTCCTGCGCCTGTGAATCGCTTTTTCCCAACGGGCAAATACGACCCCTGTAGAGGATTCCTCGATCGTGGCTCACCCTGGATGGCGCCCCTCGCATCCGCCGCTGTGCGTGCTGACGTCTCCCTCGCCTCCGTTTTGTTCACTCGCTCACTCTCTCCGTTCGTTCTCCCCATTTCTAGCCGAGCACTACCCCGTCCGCTCGTCGGTCTCCATCGAGTCCCGCGCTGCATCGATCCGCGAGTGTGTATGTGTGCATGTGTGTGCCGCATACTCGGTGTGTGGCCTGAAGCGAGCGCCGCGTCCAAACGGCTTTCACACCTATTCTTTCTCAACGAAACCCTGTCTCTCTAGACTACCACCGGCCGAATCTACCGGGTGACCACCAGCATTATACCACTCAAACCCCACAACACTGGCGGTCACGATTTCATAGTATGCTTATGAAAATCCTCATCTGCGATTGTGATTTCATGGGCCAAAACCACAGGTGAATCCTATTCGTTTTTTTCAGCCATTCTTAATGTAACTCACTTGAAAAAAATGTAGGGCAATGTGGATCCGCTAAGCGTATCGATACAGCTGCTAGAAAACTAGTTCTCCCAATCTGAACATGTAGCGAATGTACTCGATTCATATCACGTACCATATAAGCATGTTTCAACAAGTAGCACATTCTGACGATCAGTGAGGTGCTACTGGGCTATACACTGCTGAGAAATGTGTTTTTATCGAATACTATTGAAAGCCGATTGATTTTTGAGCAAAAATTAGGATTTCCTATGAAATTCCTCGAAAGTGTTCTGCTTCGTCCGACATACCTGTGGTATCCGTTATAAGTTTTATAAAGAGCTATGGAGGCTGCTGGAAGGGGCCGTTCGATTGGTTTTGCAAAAGAATAGTTCAAATCATGCTCTCATGGGCCCCGAAAGTGAATATGTTACTAAGTCTAGTACATTAATGCGCAGTGACGATGTCTCTCAGCAATTTATGAAGGAAAATACGCCTGAAAATCGATCTAGTCTTTTCACGGCGCTAGGGCTTTTTTTCTTTATTCTTCAAGATCGAGGCATTCTGGTTCAATTTCGGAGATCATTTACTGACTGGGTTCTTATGTTGACAACTCAGACGGCCGCGATTGCTTTTCTTATAATGCGGAATGGCTGCCATAAAAGTTGCCCTCAATTTTGCACGTCAAATAGCTGGTCCTCCTCACCATGCAAACTCAGCATCGAATCAATAACTTAGCCCAGCACTTTTTGAACGGCGAGAAGGATGTGCAAAAATCGTCAACTGTCGAGTTGTTCTGCTGAATGTTGAAAGTAGTATTCCAGAGAGTGTAAACAACGCCAAAGAGACGTGAAAACATTCTATACTCACTGCACAGAAGGCCGCAATGTATCGGGGGCGGGGCAGCTCGCAACATCGCGTCAAAATCACGGAAACGCTCCGTTTGGACTAAGCTTTTGAAGAGGAGAGGAATTCCGGTGTACGGAAAGCAATTTTCGTATTCTCCGGAGTTCACTCCTGCTGTTTAGGCTTAGTCCTAGATGACTTTTTTAGAGTGCCCCCCCCCCCGAGCCACGCCACATGAATAATCTCTATAGTGAAAATTTCTTTTCCCATCAACGATCTTATTGATACAAACTAGTAACATTACTATAGCAGCTGTATTCATGTTTATTTAAGTAAGATGAAATTTCCTTGTCTGTGTTGTTAACGATGTAAAGCCTAGAACTAGTTGCATAGGACATGATTCTAGAAGTGATGTAATCTTTTTCTAGCAACGTTTCATATCTCTGTTGCAGTTCCACGGTCGGAACTGAGAAGAAGCCTTCCTCTAGCACCACTGACAATCTTGATAAGTGAGTTTTCGCATTCATTGTGAACAACAAGCATACGTAATAGTTGAGTACCGTAATCGTGCTAACCAATCACGTGCATTAAGACGTCAGACACACACACAGTGAGTAACCCTGATAAGGAGGCGTTTTGTTGTCAGTGTAACGGCCAACAGTAGCATAGTGTGTGAGACTGTAATTTCTGTCTGTCTAGCTACAAAACTTTTGAACTCATCGCTGGAAAAAACAAATTATCGCGCCAAAGTAACAAACAGGGTAAACAATGATCGAGGATTCCTCAACGGAGGCCGCATCCTACAAATAATCCCCTCCTCCCACCTGAACAAAAAGGGATCATGACATTTTTGTAGAGTCATAGGGGAGGGTTTTCGGATGGGGAAGTGGGAAGCATCATAAAACATTCAACTTTCCCGTTTCGGCGGTCACAGTGTACCTACCCCGCTTGGCGGCGGTTTTGCTGGAAATTTGGAGGCCGAGTCGAGAGTATCAGGTAACAACGGAGGGAATTGTGCCAAGCCCACTTTAAAGGGAGTGTTGTGCCGCAGCCATTTCGCAATTTTCACCCTAATACTAACTTAGGCCCTTTAAGAGTTTCAATCACAGCCCTCCCCTCACCCCGCCCCTTTCGTGATTGGATAAGCTGATGAAGAAGAAGAGAATGAAAGAGGAATAAATGAAAAGAAGTAATTATAATAAAAAAATTCCCTAACAATGTTGTCCTATAATTATTGTTGTGTTTTCCTGCTCGCTATGTGGTTTCACGTAGAGAAGTTTTCCAGCATTAATTGAGAGCATAAATTGGATGTTTTGAAAATGGTGAATTACTAGTCATTTCATGGAATCGGCCGTAGAAAGTTGACGTTGTCAACTATTTTAAGAATTTCCAAGTATATCCATTGACAGCTGTCTGACGCGTAAAACATTCTCATTATTTCGCTATTGCGTGGAAATCGAATGACGCCATGAAAATATTATCGCTGAAACCAATCAGACTTGTAGTTATGTCTTAACGCACGTCAATGGTTCACCATTATTGTATGTATCAAGTCTTTCCAATGCATACTACTGTTATTCAACGAAAACTAATGAAGTGCATTGGGAACGTATCTATAGATTTTAATGTGTATTCGTCCTTTTGTGTGTACCAATACATCTATGTGTGTATGGACACACTAATGTTGACTATCGATTTTCACTCATTTCTTTCTTCTCTTTCAGACCAACATATGAAGTCGTCTACGCATGGTCGCAATCCTTCGAGAATCTCATGAAAAACAAGCGTGAGTGTAACTTTTTTCGCTCGATTATCAGGGACCACGGCATCCTATGTGAATTGTTGGCAGAAAAATGATTATCTTTTTAGTGCACTCAGCCGAATTTTCACAAAATTTTAATCCATAGATTTGTAATGAAACTCACATCGAACCATCGAGTCCAAACCGAAAATAAGTGTCTTTGAAAAAATCAAAAGTTCAAGATAAAAGCCTCAATTAAAACCAATAAAAAATTGGTGGCCAATCATTATAAAAAACAGCGATTACCTATTAGCTTTAATTTCCATAGCTTTTTTGAAAAAGTGTGCACGAGTAAATACTGAACGGCTTGGAACGTTCGACCTGGACCACTTTGGGCGCGCCCACTACGGGGCCATTTTCGAAGACCGAACCTAGAAGGACGCAGGAACAATTGGGAAAGTAAAATTGCATGCACCGTAGGATCTCCGCCACCTAACTAAAAGGCTTAGCCCCATTTAAAATATTGAGGAGATGTTTAAAGCGGTTTTGAAATCTTTCGGATGCAGTGCCCCCATTTCTTGCTATAGCGTCACTCATTGATTTGGTAGGTCAAGAAATGAGCAACAAATTCTTTGATGATTGCCATGAGTTTTGCACGTAAAAATGACTAGTGAATTAGATAGAAATAGGTTTCATTTACAGTCGATAAAAAATCCATTATGGATAAGTTTTTGTGTAGCAGAATTTTTTGTCTTGTAGAAAATAAGAAAAATCGATAACTGCTTAAAATAAATGATGATAATTGAGATATTTTCAGTGGGTCAAAAATATTTTGCTGAATTCCTGAAAGGCGAATACTCCGACGAGAACATTCTTTTCTGGCAAGCTTGTGAAGAGCTGAAACGAGAAAAGAATGCTGAAAAGATCGAAGAAAAGGTGAGTTGAACGCTTTCTCAGCTGTTTTAGAATTTCCTCATTTGTCAGAAAATACGTTCACTTTGCAATTCACAGTATTGTTATGTAAACTCACTGGGCCTTGTTGTATTTGGTATAATCCACCAAAGATTGCCCTGAGCAGCGCAACTGCTAGAGAAATGCCGATTTAGAAAATTTCCCATCTGGTTTACGATTATCAATCCTACAGTGAATGTTACTGACTGCGTCAAGAATTTCTTTCTCTTTTCAGGCCCGCATCATATACGAGGATTTTATATCCATACTGTCACCAAAAGAAGTCTCGTTGGACTCGAGAGTACGTGAAATCGTCAACACGAACATGTCGACGGTCTTTCAGCGACATTTGGATGACGGCCCACAATCAGATACTCACACTCTCATGCAAAGGGACTCGTACCCGAGGTAAATTATTTTATGACAATTCCACGATGGCGAGGTAGTCCAGGTTCCGAGTTGTAGAACACCGTATCGTTTGGTGGAATTGATACCTAAGGTCACTTTTGAGCGACTATTGCACAATGTGATCACTCGTGAAGTAGAAGGCTGAAAAACATATCTGTGAAAAAATAGACCGTCGGGAAAGCCTTGTTTATGGCCCTGCTTTTTTGTGAGCTCAGTAGTGGTAAGGCGTAGAGGTACAGTCGACGAAGGAGAGAGAATACCTGAAAGAACGCGATTTATGAGAGGGCCCAGACCTCAAATATTGCCAGCAAAAAACAGTTGTGGTCGGCGCGGTCACAACAAGGCCCTAGCTCTCTTGTCGCACAGCTCAGAGCAGTGAAAACGGCGCATCTACAACATTCATGGACGGTTCTATCATTCCTCCCCCCCCCTCCCGCCTCCTGGGGGAATTGACTCATCTGAACTCGTCCTTTAGTGTGCCGTTAAAGGTTGTCTTGCTGCGATTCATAATTTTTGAATGATCGCATCCTAAACAAGGGAGGAGTTACGACAGGCATAGGCTACAAGTGCACAAACACCCGATTCAGCGGAAAATACTGCTCTGCCGTTCATAGTTATGGTCCCCCTGGAATATAAATGATACACTGCCGCACAGACAGCAGTGCAGTAAGGACCCCAGCGCTGGCTTCTGCTGTAGATTGTACAGGCCCTACGTATATTGTAAAGTAGTGGTCGTATATGTGGCGTATATAACTTTTCCTTCTTATTTACATTCTTGTTGTCTCATCCACTTCTTGATCTTTGGTAAGAACGAACAGCGAAAATTTTCAACATATATCGCTCCTAACGACGCACCTTCTATGGACATAAGACCTGAAGGCGGATCCGGACGAAACTATCTGGAAACATACAGTAAGGGGGGGGGCAATAAAAAAGACATTTTGTCTCCAGACTCAAATGGATTTAATCACACTTTGCTCAGCTCAAAGCGTGTGCTCCCAACTTAGAATTGAAGAGCGCATTTCATTTCATAAGAAAATCTTCATAGTGGCCATCTACGTGGACGGCATCAGAAAAGTTTGCCCCGGAAACATGGTGCTCTGGTCGAGCTCAATGGGGTTCTCGACTGATCGTGTACCGTTACGACGGGTTCCGAAGGGCGGGTTCCGGGGGTTTGCATAGTTAGAGCTAATGTCCCTAGGAAACTATCCCACGTTGAATCGATCCAAGAAATTATGTAAGAGCTTCAGGCTGAAGCAGTTACTGTAGGCCTCCCTGAGCTCGACGACGGTGACAGATGACGTCATATTCTGAAGACGGTGAGGGTAGTGAAGGAGGGCCTGCGTGTACTTATAGAGGGACATTTAGAGGAACTTCCGTCAACGACGGCAATCTCTGCGAAGAAAAAAGGCCGAAGTGCGACCTGGGCAAAATGTCTTTTTTTGCCCCCCCCCTGTATATTCTGTCTTTCTGCAGCCTCCGCACGCACAGCGAGGTCAAGTGTTCGTCTTCTCGGCCAAGCGCAGGTGGTGGTTTCTTATTCGCGGCTTGGGAATGGGATCGTATCTGGGGGTTCACGAGAACCAACTAAATTAGAAGAGATTGGCGGAGAGGTGGCCGTTTTTGATGATTTTGTGGACGAATCGGGGTAAATAGTGGGAGGATAAAAACACTGACTTGTACATCGGCTGGCCCCCGCAAGTCATTGTATAGGCCACATCGCATTCAAACGCCACTACGAATGTGGAAGTAGAATGCGTGCCGCATCCCAAAAGGGATTGATCAACGGCAAATGCTTTATCCTTATCCCTTTTATTTACGCCCCCCCCCGTCCCTCCTGCGCTCTCCCATGCTTGAGGCAGTTTTTAAGCGAAAAAGTGGGCGAAGTTGGGATGCTCATGTGTGGCGTGTGGTTTCGGAATGAAATATTCTGGTAATGTCATGGTGGTGTAAATTAGTATGGGAGGACCCCGCCAGGCTGAAACGGCGGGGGAGTCGCAAAGTTCTCGAAATTGGCCTGACCCAGGGTTGACCTGGCCCATAGGGGACATGGAACAGTATCACTTCTTTACACGGATATGTTCACATGCGCATGATCCAACAGAAAATGCCGGAAATTGCCCTAAGGTGCGTAAAACGCTATCAATCGATAATGGACAAGTTTTAAAGCACAGCAAGGCAAAGAAATTGCAGTCTTACGTCTAATCCCCATTCGTTCCTACAATATTAGTTTACTAGTAATCCATTAGTTTGTCCACTGCTTAGTGCCGCACAATCGTCTTTCCCAGGCCACAACGTGCGAAAACACTGCAATGCACTTTAGTCTTTGAGAGGTGACGTAGCACATACATAGCTGTTTTTCTAAAGAATTCTTCAGTATTTTACGTGCAAGGGAAAACGACAATGTATCGGGGGCTGATCATTTCTTTAGAATACATTTCATTCAGTCTTACAGTCGGAGTGCTGAAGTCAAATGAATTTACATGCGCTTATGTGATCGTTTTATAGCACAGGCCCACATAGAAATGAAAAGGCTTTCTGTCAACATGGGAGTTGCACCATTTCTCAGATCTGCAAGCTTAGGCTCCTAGACCATGCGTGTACCTGTGATACATTGTGCTACACCTGCATTAGTGCCCAGAATCAGAGGAGGACTCAAAAAAGATAACCATCTACTTTTAATACATTTCGTCAACAGGAATCTCAACGCGCTTCACCAATTGAATAAAGCTTGACCTAGTACGGTTGCCTGTGCTATTGAAAGGACCTCATCGTGGTGAAATCATCTCTGTGTGATGAATAAATCCCACTCCCCCATCATAAGTTGTTGATATTCCGCTGTAGAGGTGCGAGAAGGGCCACTAGTGCTAAAGAAACCAACGATAGTATTCAAATCGAAGGGTTTCTCTTAGTGAGGTTGGCTGTGGCGCAAGGGAGAGACACAGCACGGCAGAAGAGTGAGGGAGCGTGCTGCTGGAGTGGACACAGACATCCCTCCGCGTAGGCCGTTGCGACGCACTCTTTCTGACCGTCATGTAGACCAGTATATTTTATGCGCTGCTTGCTAGCCTTAGGGTGGTGTCAGAGTCCGCGATCCGTCGCGCGATCGCGCGAATCGCAAAAATCGCAAGTGCCCATTTGAACATTTGAAACACTGAATATGAAACAAGTAGAATCATGAACAGTCGTCATTCAACCATCACCATCAAGCAGAAATGGCGGCGGGATTGGAGAGCACCTTGCAGTATTGATCGGGCACTTGTGATTTCTGAGATCCGTCGCGCGGCAGGTCGCTGACTCTGACACCAGCCTTAGCGAAACATTGTCGTCGTGCCCCGCTCAAGTTACCGTTCAAGAGGGGCAAAAATATTTTATGGTTCATGGCTTATTTGATGTTTGTCACGGTCTTCGATTAACACATGCGTATTTCAGATTCCTTTCGTCGCAGCTGTACAAAAACATTATAGGAAATCACGGAACACTAGAAGAAGTCTGAGGGGAAGTGGGGAAAAAAGGAAATGAATTGAAAGACACATTGAACGGGAACATTATCTGTCGAATAACTGGATGCATATGTGCGTAGATCCATTATGTTGTTCTTGTCTCATTGTGCTGTACATACAAATTGAACATTATCACATATCACCAAGGATGAAAATCGCAATTGTTCTTTTCCCACCCTATAAGTCCTTCTTCAATCTGAAGTTCTTCAGTGAATATTCGATTGATTAGATGAAATCATTAATATAAAAACACATTGCAACAACTATCTGTTGATTCTCCTTTTGAATTACTAGTTTCATTATTTTATGATCAGCATGTGTGCAACGTACTATATGTCATTATTGAGGGTGTAAAGAGTTACATGCACAAATTCATATATAGATGACGGTGTAGCGAATATGTGCAGTCCAATGCTAACGATCTCTCCTCGAGCTATGTTCCCTGCAGCTTTTCTTTTACAAATTGTATCTTTCGTATACGTATGACGTTTTTATAACAATGACACGATCCATTCCAACTGTCACAGGAAGTGTACTGATTAAATTCACCATCATTATCATCATCTCTGGTCCCTATCACTCGCTGTAGATTTCTAGTCAATATGTCTTGTTTTCCTGAAAAAAGTAGCACACAGTTGACTATGATTCAACTGCTGCACATCGCGGTATTATTTATTGTCTTGCTGTTACTTCTACATTCTTTTAACATTTGAGCTCATCCCGAGTGTTATGTTATAGGTTTGCAATGTTCGAATCAAATATGTTGTCGTTGTATGACTGGTCGTCCTAAATCTTCACTGTTCACGTTTGTCGTTTTTGATAAGATCAGCAACTAATGAGTGGTTAAAGTCTTGATTGATGATTATCACAAGAATGTTGAGTTATGGGCAAGGGTGACGCAATGGACTGCTCCAACTACCGCGGTATCAAGTTGACTGCGCATACCATGAAGTTGTACGAGCGGCTGGTCGACTCGAAGCTGCGGGAGCTGGTCCCGATCTCCCAGGAACAGTTCGGGTTCATGCCCGAAAGGTCTACAACGGATGCCATCTTCATCGCTAGGCAAGTGATGGAGAAGTATCGAGAAAAGCGCCGACCCTGCTACCTAGCCTTCCTCGACCTGGAGAAGGCGTTCGACCGGCTACCGCGAGCAGTGCTATGGAGGTCGCTCAGGGAACGAAACGTGCCAGAACACCTGATCTCTCTGGTGAAGGACATGTACGAAGGAGCCAAGGCAGCCATACGCACCCCTCACGCCTAACGAAGGAGGTGGACATCACGGTTGGGGTGCACCAAGGGTCAGCTCTGAGCCCCTTCCTGTTCCTCCTAACACTAGATGCCATGGTGAAGGGCCTCATGGAAGGACCACTGAAGACCATCTCTGACGACATCGCCCTGATAGCGGATAGCAGAGAGGAACTACAGGCCAAGGTGCAGAAATGGCAGAAAGTCCTGGCAGAAGGCGGGCTCCGGCTGAATGTCAAGAAGACCAAGTTCCTGAGCTCTGAAGAGGGTGCAGAGCCGATCGTGGACGGCCATGGTGAACCATCGAAAGAGTGGAGGACTTCCGATACCTTGGGAGCGATCTGGCAGCCGACGGAAGTGTGGATCAGGCAGTGAAGGCACGAATCAACGCGGCATGGATGAAAGAGTCCACTGGAATCCTCTGCGATCGAAGGTGCTCCAGAACGCTCAAAGGGAAGGTGTACCGGACAGTGGTAAGGCCTGCGATGCTCTACGGCAGCGAGTGCTGGCCCCTGAACAAGAATCACGAAAGGCAGCTTCACTCCGCTGAGATGGGCCTGCGGCTGGACGCGACTGGACAGGGTCAGGAAGGATGTCAGAGCGGTCATGCAGACTGCCCCTGTCCAGCTGAAGGTACGGGAACAGCGACTGCGATGGTATGGGCACGTGCTAAGGAGGCCACAGGATCATCCGATAAGAACAGCAATGGACTTCGAAGTGCAAGGCAAGCGACCGCGAGGAGCCCCAAAGAAGAGGTGGAGAGACGTCATCAAGAAGGACCTAAGTGAAGTCACGGCCACAGCAGAAGATGCCCTGGACAGAGCAAAGTGGCGACGACTGACAAAGACAGCGGACCCTGCGACTGCGCGGGACTAACGCTAGGGAGAAGAAGAAGTTGGGTTATGGGTGAAACTCGATCCAGGCAAAAAATGAACCTGCACTGGACAATTCCGGCAACCGTTACACCACCACAGCCCCGCTTCTCCTATAAAGGTCATTAGGTCATGCCCAGTAGATGAAATGGGGCGTACATGTCTGTACACATCCTGGGACCCTGAGCTCAGATTTGCTTTCATTATCTCAAACTCTTCTTTGAAAGAAGTAAGCGCCTTTCGCCTCGCCGCTCTGACTTTTTAGTGCCTCATCTGCAATCACGTGTAATCTCCCTTATAAACGTCGCAAAGAACTAGCATAGTGTGTTTCATTGGCGCACTTGGTAGCGGTCTTGATCCAGAGGAAGGGGTTGGGGGCAGGGTCAACCCTATGTTGGTACAAGTACCCCGAGGGGGATCGTGTATGGCCCACGAGCTGGGAGTGGTCGTAAGTCGCTGTAGTAGGGGTGGAGAAATGGATATCTGCGAAATGCACCAGCGAATTAGAAGCACAGCGCAGGCGTGGCGCACACCATGCTTATCCGTAACAGAAGACTGTTTTTGAAGGATTCCGATGTTTCTAGAGTGAATGAAGCGAAGGAAATTGCAGTAGTATGAAGGATGGACTCTTCTTGAAGAAAAATGAAAATATTTACAAACAGTTTTTTCTAAGAAGGATTTCCACAAGCGCTTTAGTGAATTCATGAAAGCGTGTACTCGTGCTTCTTTTTAGCTCACTCGAGGTTTTACGCGAAATCGGTTTTGAAAGGAGTTACGATCATTGAAACCTAAAAAACCCGCGTTTTCATGAAAATGGCTTGAATTGTGCCCCTCCAAAAAAGTCCCAACGGGACTAATTTTTGAATCGGTGATTTTTCGAATAAGTTTTAGCCCTTTTTAGAATGCTTCAAACCTTGAAGTCTGTCATGCTGGTTCCATCTTCTTAAATTAATGACTTTGAAAGAAGTTGTGACCTTTGGAGGTTGAAAACAAAAAAAAAACGTAAGCACAGAAGAAAGTACCAACGTGTTAATTTTTATCAGCAACGCAACGCGATAGTAGGTTGACGACAACGCACATCTTGGCTTTTTTGACCGTGTGGGACCGTCGCGATTTTGTAAACGCGGTCGCCTCAGGTTATTCAAACGGATTTTGGGTGGCAATACATAAAAAAGTGAGTCTTAAAATGTGATCGGTACTTTTCAGTGGCGAGAAACGACACAGAGGTACAGTTGAGGAAATATGGTCAGATGTCAATAACAATGAAAAGCAAAACTGTCATTCCTAGCTGCAATGGACTCCGAAACCAATTTTACCTGAACTGCTTGATCAGAAAACATATCTTGTCATCTCTTAGCTTCCATATTTACTTATACTACCCTTTTAACCCTCAGAATCACAAAAAGAAAATGGAAACGAAAATTTGAGTGTTCCAGTAATCTCTCTCTAAATTGAGGCAGACGTGACCCTGCGGGCCACTACAATGTTGGTTGCTATGCTAAGACTTTTATGGAATAAATAAAAAAACCAAAAAATTGTGCGTGCGCGAAAAAAAACGAAAATAATGGGTGCATGACACATTCATGTACGTCTCGCGCTGTTGCAAAGTGCGGGATGTATGTGTCCCGCGATGTCGTCGATGTGCTGAATAAACTTTCAATGGATATTCAACGATGTTTTGGGGAGAGCATGATGTAAATTTTCCTAATTTCTTACCATGACACCAACATCGAATTTGAAAAAAGTTATGACCCTCGAAAGAGGCAGGTGCAAATTCCATCGAATTTTTCGGGTTAGGAAAACAGAAAAACGGGAGGAGTGCTCCTCGCACCCCCAAGTTTCTGCCCCTTCCATATGTAGGTTAATGTTTCCATACGGTGGGGGTCGTATCACGGCCCCAAAAAGGAGGAAGGGATGTAAAAATTTCCTAAAAGTACCAACGGGTACCCTGGTTGCGGGCAGGATCAAGACGTGATAATGGTCCGGTTTCAGAATTTTATGACATTTTTCCTTATAGAGAGTTGATACGATACTGAAATTGCCTAGTGGGCATTACTTTCTTTAGACTTTTTATTTTTTGATAGTTCTAGGTTATGATTGTTATCTGAAGGGCTGTTAATTTTAGACATATACCAGGTTTGCCATGTATTTGGAAAAACTGCTGTTACGTACGAAGAATTAAAGGCACGCTCCGCGATCAAGGACCAGCTCGCCCTGTTTCCATTCCAAGGCAGAGTGGACAAGTGTTGATGTCGGGCCCCTTTTGCGGCTTGAAAGTACGCGACAAAGGCGCAAGGAGCTCGTCCAACCCGCAACTCACACCTTCGTCCGCAAGCCCCACCCTTCGCTGTCGGTTGCCACGTGGCGCTGCTTGAAAAGCGCGGGCGCATTTGAGGCAGTGGTCCCAGCGCGATCCAATGTTATTGACACTGGAGCAAGTAGAGTTAGGTTCGTGAAACTCGTCCAATTCGCCTCTTCTCTATCCCAAGGTGGAATGTGGCTGAAATAGGGGAGGTCTCTGTACGGGGCGTAATCGGTGGTTTCGTTTGCTTTCCTTCTCTTTTACAGACCACCTCCCACCTATAGCTTCATAACTGAACGCTTTTCCACACCTATTTTATCCTGAATCTTTGTCTTTAAGAGTTCACAGAATGAGCACTTCTTGGGACCATTGCGGTGAGAGGGTGCATTGCGGTGCACCGACTGCTCCAATGACATATTGGCACATGGAGCCCTTTGAACTTACGAGATGGTATCATCTTTATTCCTACGTTGTGTCCTCCGACATTTTTTACAAAATGTATGTGTTCCTGTGATTTATGGCAAAAAAAAGTCTGTGAAAGGTATGGTTTGCTTAGGGAGCAGCTAGGACTAAG